CCCCCCCCCCCGGTCACGGGGGGTCGGACCAGCGGCCGCGCCCCCCCCCGAGCCTCAGGGTCCCCATCCCGACCCCCCCAGCCCCCCCGGCGCGCTTTGTGTCCAAAGGGAGCGATGACATTAAGGGGGGGGGTCCCCAAAACTTCCCCACCCCCTCCCACCAGCCATGAGGGGAAGGCGACACTTCCTCATCCTCATCCTCATCCTCATCCTCCGTCACCCAAAACCCTCGCGCTCGGCGGAAACGGGGACGGGGAAGAGTCCGGGGGAACTTTGGGGGGTCGTAGAAGTTTGGGGGGGAGGCACACGGGGGTCCCTGGAGCTTCGGGAGGGGGGTGAGGGTGGTCCCGGCTCGGAGGGGGACGGTGCTGGCAGGGGGGGTTTATTGTCCTGCCAGGACCCCCCGCCGCACAGCGGGGGTCCCTCGCCCCCCTTCCCGCACCCCCCTCTTGGCTCGGGACCCCCAAAGCGCATAACTCCCCCCCCCAACACATCACGAGCATCATCCCGCGACCCCCAAAACCCCCAATCCCCTCCCGGTCGCGCGGGGAAGGGCAGAGCCCCCTCCCCAAGTCGGGATGAGGGGGGCAGGATGGGGTGACCCCCCCCCAAAACAGGAGCAGGGAGGGACAAGGGAAGGACAAGCCCCCCCACCCCAAAAGGGGGGTGAGAGGAGGAGGGGAAACCCCCGGTTCGGGGCGGGGGGGGGACCCACCTTGGCGCGATCGCTCCTGACTCGCGACAGGGACTCGATACGGGACATAATCCGGGGAGCGCTCCCGGCTCCCTCCCGGTGTTCCCGGTGCCTCCCGGCTCCTTCCCGGCTCCTTCCCGGCTCCTTCCCGGTGCTCCCGGGCCCTCCCGGTGCCCGCCAGTCCCGCCCCCCGGAGGCGGGTCCCGCCCCCCCCCCCCCATCGGCCTCGTGCTGCCCGCGGGGCCTTTGTTCCAGAGGGGTCCCCGGGGCCGGGCTGGGAACCCCGGGATCCAGCCGGGATCCAACCGGGATCCAGCCGGGATCCAACCGGGATCGGCCTCCCCCGGGATGGGTACCCTGCAGTCACCCCGGGATTGGCATCCCGAGGGATTGGTGCCCCAGCACTCCCTGGAATCAGCATCCCGAGGCATCAGCATTCCCTGATCCTCCGGGATTGGGACCCCAGCATCCCACGGGATTGGCACCCAGACATCCCTCGGGACTGGGCTCTGGAGTCACCCTGGCATCCCTCGGGATGAGCACCCCAGCATCCCACGGGATCTGTATCCCAGCAGCCTCCAGGATCAGCATCCCGAGGCATCTGTGGCCCAGCATCCCGAGGGATCAGCCCCTGCTCTCATCCCTTGGGATTGGTGCCCGGAGACACCCGGGATCCCAGCCCAGTATCCCTTGGAACAGTCCCCAGAGAACCCTGGATCCCAGCCCAGTATCCCTTGGGATTGGTCCCCAGACACCCTGGATCAGGCCACAGAATCCCGGGATCATCCCACAGTGTCCCCCCGGCTCCGGCCCAGCATTCCCGGGATCGTCCCTCGGAGTCCCCCCTGCTCCGGCCCCGGGTGGGGCCCCCAAGTCCGCCTCTTCCTCCTCTCCTGCCTCAGTTTCCCCTCCCAGCTCCCTGGACCCCCTTTGGGCACAGCCCCCTCCCATCCCAGGGCGACACCAAGGCTGGGATCCCCCAAACCAGCAGCAAATCCCACGGGATTCCAACCCCCCGGAGCCCCCCGAGCCCTGGATACCCCCGGAGCGCCGTTTTGGGGGGACACACAAATCCCAACCCCCTTTTCCTCCCTTTTGGGGCTTTTATCTCCCAGCTGGAGCAAACCCAGGCTGGACCCTTCCCGGGAACGCAGCTCTGGGGGTGCTGCCGCTTCCCAGGGACAGAAAGTTGGGATAAAGCTGCATTTTCGGGGAGATGTCGCTTTTTCTCCCTAAAGCAGCGGCTTGGGAGCGGCTTTGGCAGCGGGAGCCGGGCCGGCCTCGCCCGGTTGAACATTAACTCCGGCCGGGATAAGCCGAGATTTATCGGCTGGATCCCGAGATAACGCTCCCGGCCCCGGCTGTGGCTTTTTGGGGACCCCAAAGTCCCCACGTGTCCCCCGGGGAGCCCCGGGGATGAAGCCCCCTCCCCGCTTTGGGGTGCCAGCGGCTCCTCAGGGAATAAAGGATCCCTTTTCCCCACTTTTCCGAGCCTGGGGGATGGGGACAAGGCCGGGTGGCACCGGAGGGAGTCGGAGGCACTTGGGTTAATGAATAACCAGGAAAATCCACCGGTGCCATGGAGAGGTGTCACCATTCCCAGCTCCCAGATGCCCCCCTTTCCCTAGGGAAAACAGCTCCCGGGAAAGGGAATGTGTCAAATCCAGCCCCTGCAAATCCCGCGGGAGAGGGCTGGGATGGACCCACGGAGGGCGGGATGGACCCGTGGAAGGCCTTCCCAGGGAAAAGGAAAAGTTGGGATGCAGGAAAACCTGCGGTATCCCAATCCCAGGGTCGGAGCAGATCCCTGAGAGTGGCTGGGCCTCATTTCTGACTCATTCCCAGCTCACTCCCGGGGCTCGTTCCGGGGCTGCCAAGGCCGGATTTTAATTAAACTGCAGATTTTAATTAACTCCCGGTCCCCAAAGCGGAATCGAACCCGGGGGGAATCACAGAGGGGGGGCCGAGGTCACTCTCCCCCCTTTCACCCCCATTCCCTATTCCTCATTTCCTCCTGGATTCACCCCCGGCCGGGCTTTGCTCTCCCTCCCCCTCCGCGGCCGTTACCCCAAAACAACCCCAAAACCCACGGAAGGAAACCCTGGAGAGGCCTCCGGATGCTCCGGGGGGAGCCACGGGGGGGGGGGGAGGACCGGCGCCTCTTCCCACGTGGATCCGCACTGGAAAACCCCCCGGAGGCGAAGGGGAAGCGGAAAACTCGGGAAGGGGGAAAATGGGGGGGCTGCGGCTGCTCCCCCCTACTGGGGTCCCCCGAAGCCCCCAACATCCCCCTTTTCCACCACGTGCCGGCTCCGTGTCCCGCTGTCCCGACCCCCTTCCCACTCCATCCCGATCCCAAACCGAATCCAGAGCCCCCCGCCCCAAGAAAAGCTCCCCCAACTTCCAGGCGCCTTTTCCCTATAAAATCCCTAACAAATAACAAAAAACCCCTAATAAAAAATCCCAGTAAATCGGGGATTTCGGTGCCCCGCCGGGGCTTTGGGAAGAGGCCGGAGCCGCTCCCGACGGGCGGTTCCGGATCCCGCGGCTGCTCCAGGCGGGATTTGGAGCCGGGGGGGCTCGGGGCCCCCCCCAGATGGGAACAGCTGGCGGCTGATCCGGCGGGAAGAGCGGGAGGAGGAGGAGGGAGATCGGGGATTAACGGCTCCACATGGCGGCAAATCGGGGCCGCCCGGGGGGTCTGAGGGGGGGGCTACGGCGGTTTTGCCCCCTCAAAGCGGGGGGTGCGACAGCCACGAGGACAAAGCCACCGGCGGCCACCGTGTCCCTCGTGCCTCAGTTTCCCCCCCCCGAGCCCCCCAGAAACGGGGCTGGGGGAGGAGACGGGACCCCCCCCCGTGACCCCCCGCACCCCCCGGGGCCACCAAAGCCCCCCATGAACAGGCGGGAAATGGGGAAACGGAGGGGAACGGGGTTGGGTCGTGGCGGTGCCGCCCCCGGGAAGGATCCGCTTGGGATCCGCTCCCGGAGCGCATTCCCGGCTTTCCCCCCGCCTCCCTTTTAGATCCCAAAGTCTGGAAAACAGCGCGGGACGGAGCCAGGCGGGAGCGGGGAAACTGAGGAAGCGCATCCCTGACCCCCCCATCCCGTTATCCCCCCCCATCCCGTTATCCCCCCACGGGATCTCCCGCCCGTTCCCGGGAACGGATCCCACCCCCCGCTCCCGCTTTTCCCTACCTTCGTCTTGCCGGTCATCCTGCGGATGAAGCTGAGGGTCCTGTCCAGGGGGGTCTCGTCCCGGCCCGGGGGGGTCCCCGCCTCCCCCGCCAGCCGCGCTTCGCTCCCGGCGCTGCGGGAGGAGGATCCCGCTGGATGATCCCGACGGGCGATGCCGCTGGACGATCCCGCCGGACAATCCCGCTCTGTCCCCGCCGGGAACGGGGAGGAGCGTCCGTGTCCCCTCCCCACTCCCGGCTGGGCCATCACAGAGCCCCCTCTGTGCCCCCCAGAGTCCCCCCAGAGCCCCGTCTGTGCCCC